GTGCTGGGATTAAAGGCGTGTGCCACCACCGCCCGGCTTCATTTTATTTTTTAAATGACTTTCAATTATTTCTAATTTTAGTTTTCAATGCATTTTTCTTTACTTTTATTTCATTTTGAATGAACTCACTTTCCCATCGTAGGCCAGGCTATCACAATCCTCCTGTCTCAGTTTGTCCGGTGTGTGGAACACAGATGTAAGTCGCCATGGAGGCCAGGGTAGGCAAAGTGGAAGATGGGACCTCTTCTAAGGCTCAAAGTTTTAGAAAGCAGCGAATCTCATGGGACTAATCCTGAGGTTTGTCTCATGTTGGACTGTGATGTAGGGGTAAAATCCCGGGCCCTGCTGGGCAATCTCTGGCCTCTGACTCTGGGCTAGCCTGGCCTTCAGGTTCATTCATCCCTTTACTTTTTGGGTCTATCTGGCTTTGTTTTTGTTTTGAGACAGGATTTTCTTGTGTAGACCAGGCTGGCCTCGAATTCAGAACTCACCCAGCCTCTGTCTCACAAGTGCTGAGATCAAAGGTGTAGCCAACCTCGCTGTTTTTTGAGGTAGGAAGTCACACAGCCAGGCTGATCTTGAAGACTCCATGCAGCAGTGGTGACTCAGCCCCCACGACCCTCCAGTGGTGTCCTACAGCTCCAGAACCCTCTGCCCACTCAGGGACACACAGACATGGGACCAGGAGGCATTCGCATCCTGGAACTGGTGAAGCGCTGGAGACTCGGTGCAGCACCCCGAGACTCAGGAAAGCACCAGAGACCCAGTACAGCTCCCTAGATGGGGTACAGCACCCCCAGACTCTGCCTAGGGCCCGTGAGTCTCTGTAAAACTTCATTCCTTTTTGACAGCTACATCATATTCCAATGCATGGGCACAGCTGAGGCTGGGTGGGGTAGACTCGTGCACACGGTGTTGTGGGAGCAGCCTCTGGGGTTTCACGTGGAAGGAAACTACCCCGGGCTGCATCGCAGTTAAGGCAGGATTTAAGATTCAGTTAGGTGGGACAGTTCAGAGCCGCTGCGGAGGGAGAGAGACAGAGACTGAGAGACTCCCGGGTCCTCTGAGGACCTTTGCACAAGCCCCGGGATGCCAGTCACGGTAGGCAATGATCCCAGTAGCTTGCCAACTGCGTGCCCCACCACAGTGCCCGCACACAGTGGGTTCTCAATAAAGATTCAAAAACACAATGCAAACTGCGAATTCATGGAACAAGAGGAAAAACCCTCCCGCGTGTCTCCGCGGCCCACCGTGGATAGAGATATTAGGGAGGAAGATCGGCGAGCCCCCCGCCCCCCTTTAATTATCCTGTTGACAAGACTCAGGATCCCGCTCGTCAAGGTGGCATCTGAGAGGACGGTTCCCTTTAGCGACGCTGACAGCTAATTTGTGGGAAGTTTAATTACAGGCGGCGTTAATTAACTGGCAAAGCGCTGGGCGAGGACGGCGGCCATCTGTTCCGAAGATGTCCTCTCCTTCTGGGCCTGACTGGGGCTGGGGGGAGAGGTGAGGAGGGAGGAGTGGGAGGAGGGAAGGAGGGCGCGAGAGGAGCGAGGAGGGGAGGACGTATGACGGGGGGGGGGGGGTTTCCCGCGCAGGGGATCCGCAGAGGGAGCAGAGGAGTCGGGGTGCGTGTTAGGCCTTTGCCGAAGCTGGGACACCATTAACCACCTCCGTGCCCACCCTGGTCTTAGGAACTTTGCACACGGCTGCGCCCAGACCCCCGGGGCCCCGCAGCCCTGGCTCTCCTCAGCCTTGCACTCCAGCCTGGAGATCTCCAAGCCCAAAAACAGAGGTCCCCTCCTCCCTGCACAGACCGAGTCCTGGTAGTCTTGACACTCAGTTCAAATCCGGCTCCCTTCTGCCTCTGCGCCCCTGCTCCAGCAGCAGCCTGGGAAACTCAGTTTCCCTTTCGGATGAGGGTGACTCGGGATCCCGATGATGCTTGTGCCCCGGCGGCTGCCCATGGTCCCCGCCAGCGCCGGGTCACCGCGGCCAGCACGCTCGGCAAAGCCTCAGTTTCCCCCTTTGCCCTTCCTCAGGCGAACACAGATGGCACCGCCTGGCCGGGCAGGAAGGGGCCCCCGCCGGAGCGGGGGTGGGGAGCTGGCATGGGCGCCCCAGCAGCTGGGACTCTTGGCAGCCGATGGCAGCCGGAGGCGGCTGGACACGCGCCCGAGCTCGGGTGGGGGACAGAGAGGCTGCGACAAAATGGGGGACCCCACTCACAGGAGGAGGGGAATCCCGTGTGCACTTACCAGGCGCCTGCTGGATGCGGCGGCCACCGCTCATCCCCAGCCTCCAGGACTGTGGCCTTGTCCCACTGCGGGCCTTCAGTACTCACAAGGCAGGTCACTTAGTCAGTAGATGCTGGCCGCTCACCCAGGCCTTTGCACATACTGTGAAAATCAGCCATCGTCAGACTTGTGAGGCCGGCGTACTGTTGAAGCCATTTTACAGATGGTAAAACTGACCTCAGGTAGGCAAAACAATGAAGTAGACTGTCTGGCCTCAGGACGCAGTTATTCAAAATGCTCCTCCGCTCGGCCCCTCACCCCAGTGCCCCGGGGCACGACTAGGAGGGGCTTTGCTGGGACTTGGGGGCGTGGTTACGTTGTGGCGGGGTAGGACGGGGCGTGGCTATTCTAGGGGCAGATCCTGGGCGGCTGAATTCCCTAGTTTGGCGCGGGAAAGCGGGAACCCTCCAGATTTAAACAGACTTTATTTAAACCCCCACACCCCCTCCCCGCGTCAGTTGGGGTCAGGAGGTCTCGGGGGTCACTTCTGACGACTCCACGTTCTCGAGCGTCCCCAGGGACGTGGTTCTGCTGCAGCGACGGCAGGGGACTGTCCGGGCTAGCAGCTCGAGCCTGCGGGAGCGCAGTCGGGCCTGGATGGCCCAGATGGGGGGGCGGCGTCCGGGTAGGGGTGGGTCGTCGCCGCCCACGCTGCTGTTCGCGGAGCCGTCGTGCGTGCTGGCCACCGACTGCTTGCACAGGGGGCACAAGCGTTGCGGGGCGCGCACGAACCAGGGGTCGATGCAGCGGCAGTGGTACACATGCGCGCACGGCAGAATCTTGAGCCGCTCGCCCTCTTCGTACTCGTCCAGGCAAATGGCGCACAGGTCACTGAGGCGCGTGAACGTGCGCACCTGGGCCTTCTGGCACGTCTGGGTCTTCACCGTGGTGCCCCGGCTCCCCCAACACCGGACCCGTGGCCACAGCTGCCTCAGCACGAACAGTGTGGACGCGGCCAGGGCCAGGGCTCGAGCGAGCGCCCAGGATGCGGCCACGGCGGGGTGACACTCGGGGTCTGGACAGGGTGCCCCGTGGGGCAGCAGCACGCGCGCTGGCCGGTCGCAGCGCACGGTCACCTCCAGGTCGTCGAACGCGCGCAGCTGCCCTGGGGCCTCAGTGCGCGCGGGAGCTGCTGTGGCTCCAGCCCTCCGCGCGTGCAGCCCCGTGCTCTCCCACGTGCAGCCCAGCGGCCGGACTATCACGAGTGTGTCCAGCGAGGGGTTATCGGGCTCAGTAGTCTCGATCGCGAGGCAGGCGTTGGCCGGCCTGGCCGCCAGCAAGTAGCTGCGTATGCCCTGGGGGCCCAAGGGGATCCCAAGCAGCGCCGGTAGCTCCGAAAAGTCCACGGAGCTCAGGTTAACCTGCGCGTTCGCGGACGACGGGGACAGAACCAGCCAGAGGGCCAACAGGGCCATCGGGGCTACTCGGGCCCATGCCGACCGCGCCATGACCGTCCCTACCTCCAGCTGTCGCGTGCCGCCAAGTCCCGCGTGGGACAGCACGGGAGCCCTTCGGGCATCTCCGGAGCCACCCGGGGAGCCCGTGGCCGGGTGGGAGCGGCGCCCGCTGTGGCCGGACGCAGGGCCTCAAGCGGAAGTGACTCCTGGGGACAGCGCGGTCAACCTGGTGTCCAGGAGACCTGCTCTGAGGATGACACCTCGGGGTTGTAGAAGCCTCCGAGCTCTGTGACGTCATTGTCACATACGCCCAAGAACACTCAGCTGTGCGGACTCCTAGCTGGTGGCGTATTACTAAACCCCGACTCAGGTCATTCCCAGGGGAGTCCAGGGCATGGGCCCCAAGGGACATCCATTCTTGGAAGTGGGAACCGAATTTCACTCAGCATCCGGACACAAGGGTAGAGTTCAGGGTGCAGGAAAAGGCTCCAAAAGGGATTCTGGGGGTTCCCTTATCTTCCGTCCACAACGCAGCTGCGCAGACACCCCACGGAGGGGAACCCTGTCGCCCACTCTCCAGGCCCCATGTCAGCCCTGGGCTTGTGCTGTGGCCACGGGAACTCAAGGCTCCGAATCGCTGAACTCTGCTCAATGTCGCACCCCAAAGAACAATCCAGGAAGATAGAAGCTTGTATTTTTGTGAGGGGTTACACCTTCCCAATCACACAGAGACTGAGGGGCCCCCACTATGGGGACCTTAGAGATGGAGCCGGATTCACTCTCCAGCTTTGGTACCTGCGAGTCGTCTCCATTGTCACCTTGGAGAGCGCATGCTGCCACATTGAGGGCTGTTATTCTAGAAGGGAGAGCTTCAAGAAAACTGAAACTACAAGGTGCTGGCTTCTGCCTCCCTCCAACCCGACGACCGGTTCCTCCGCCTACTGTGCCACCCTAGGGAAGACCCACCCCTCTGGCCCTTGCTCTCTTGTCCCTTGTGGTGACATCTACCTCGTCCTCCCTCTGTTCTGGGCATAGCAGAGAGGGGTACTGGGACGGGCCACGTGTTCAGCTGTGACTGAAGTTCGCAGGCAGGGGCGTGCCTGGGACTGACCCCTTTCAGCGCTCCCGGCCCGTCGGCAGGACTGTGATGGAGCCTGACGCGGTTTGATTATCAAGAGGGAAGGTCGGTGCTTCTGTGTAGTTGGTCATTTGCTGTTTTCTTGTTTTTGTGGGACAGGGTCCAGGCTGTCCAGGAGCTCACTATGTAGCCCAGGTTGACCCAGAACTCACAGCGATCCTCCTACCTCTGCCTCCCAAGTGCTGGGGTTAAAGGCGTGGCCACCAGGCTGGGTTTTCCCTGGTTCATAGCGTCACAAGGGTCACAAGGTCCGACCCAGAGGTGGACGGATCTGAGAGAGAGAGAGAGAGAGAGAGAGACAGAGACAGAGACAGAGACAGAGACAGACAGAGAGAGAGAGAGAGAGAGAGATAGTGGGGCACACCTGTCACTTCACTCAGGAAGCTGAGGCAGGGGCATTGCCTGGAATTCAAAGCCGGCGTGTATAATAGAGAGAGACAGGGGGAAGAGGAATCTGGGGTCCCTCAAGCCCCTTCTCAAGTACACCCCCAACCCAGGGCCCTCCCTTCAGGCCCCGCCCCTTTAAGGCTCCACCTCCTGCCAATAATTCCCCCCTTCTCCGCCCACCCAGTCTAGAGCACCTGGGCTCTTTGCCCACAGATACCCATGTGACTCCGGGGTGGGCGGGGTCCCAGCTCTCCCAAGTGACTGCCAAAGGTTTCCAGGTGCCTCAGGTCTCACCCACCGCATATTGAGTGCCAACTGCCTAGCAGGTCCAGGGCCTGCACCATGACACCTGTCAATCAAGGTATCATTGCCATCTGGACTCTGTAACCCAGGCTGGCCTTGAAGTCATTGCAATTCTGCCCTCTCCCTCCAGCCCCACCCCTTTTCCAAGACAAGGCCTTGGTCATTGGCTGGGCTGCCCTGAGAGGCCCAGGGACCTCAACAGTTCCCAAGAGGCCACAAGGCACGTCCCTCCGACAGGAAGAATGCAGGAATGGTGGGAAACTGAGACAGTGTCAGCAGAGGGACCGGGTCCCTCAAGTGAGGACACACTGTTCTCGGGAAGTGTGAACTCGGTCTGTGCAAAGATCCTGGGGTCCAGCAAGGCACCACCAAGAAAAGGGCACAGAATTGCTTGCATGCCAGCCCTGGGAGAGTTGAGGCAAGAGGATCGCTGTGAGTTCCAGACCTGTCTGGGCTGCAGATGGACACCCTGTCTTAAAAGAAAAAAATCAGGGGACTTGCTGGTAAAGCGGGACACAGCTGCATGGCCATCTGGCCGCCCGGCTGCGATGCGGGAGGGGGGGGTATCCAAGCACTATTTCCTGTGAGTTTAAAATTATTTCACAACAGAACACTTTTAAATGCAGAAATCTTTGAAGAAAAAAAAATCTAGGGAAAAGCAGCTGGAGAGGAGGGCGGAGATACTAGACAGACTGGGAGTGGGGAGGGCAGAGAACGCGGCTGTCAATCAGAGGGAAAGGGGACACGCTTCCAATGGACCTTGGCCCTGAGAGGTATCTAGGAGGGAAGACAGGACAGAACAGAAGGAGGGAGACCGAGGGACTGAGAGAGACTGGGTGGGGGGCGCAGGAGACGGGAGGGACTTTAAGTCTATACTCCGTGGGTGGCCACCCTTCCCCCAGTCACACACCCCACAAAAAAGACCAAACGAGGAGTCTCCCGTGTGTAGCACAGACGTTCTCGGGCCGTCAGACATTGGCAGTGCAGAACTCCGTAGGGAGGAGTCCCCAAGATGCTGCTCCCAAGCGTAAGATGTGTGTGGGGTGACCGTGCCATCTGCGCAGCTGAGGGACATCCACCTCCTGGTACTTAACAGAGAAGAAACTGGGAAGGCCCAGAGAGAGACCCAGACAGCCGCAGGACCACAATCCACAGAAACCGGGTATATAAGCACTGGGGATGCTGAGCCAGGAGAAGCAGGCATTCCGGGTGAGCCTGGTCCCCCTGACCCTGTGTGCGTTTGTGCTTCAGGGCTTTCCATCTACTCCCAGTGAGATGTGATTATCTTCCTTGGCCCACGCACTTGGGGAAACTGAGGCTGGCACCACATAAGCAATTTGGCCAAGGTGATGATGGTTAGGAGGTCAGATTTAAATACAGGGTCACGCAGCGTTCCTGCACCATATCTTTATGTACTAGCTGAGCTTTGCAGCCCAAGACTGTGGAGGACACCAAGCGACCCAGAGTCTTCCCCCACCTATGGGTGCTAGGAATGAGATGAAGCTTTGGCAGACCACGCTCCCAGCCCCTCACTGGGAATTCTAGGCGGGGGCTCCACTCTGACCACGCCCCCAGCCCTCACTGAAAAATTCTAGGCGGGGCTCCACTCTGGCCACGCCCCAGCCCCTCACTGAGGATTCCAGGTGGGACTCCACCCTTGACCACGCCCCAGTCCCCTGTAAAGCTGCCGAAGGATTGGGGTCAGCTGCTCTCAGAACAAAGCTAGAGGAAGCGCTCTTCCCCTCCCCCACCAAGACCCTCTGGGAATGGCGCCAATTAAGAGCAAATCAATTAAGCAAACTGTGCTTTGGCTTTGCCCTTAGCACTCTGCCCTCGGCCTCCCTGACTGGAAGCAAACGCATTTGTGGTCAGAGCTGAGGCGGGATCAGGACTTTCCAGGCAGAGCTCTTACTGGCCCCTGGGACATGGAGTCAGTTACGTGATCCAACCGAGAGTGGAGGGGGTACCTGTGAGCCAGCACCATGGAGGAGCTGGTCTGTTCCTGAGGACCGGCTACGGTATGACAGGAGTGTGCACAGAGCTGCGGGAAAAGAAGGCTATAATTTGCCCATTTTACACGTCAATCAAGTGCCCGAAGTTGTTGTAGCTTTTGTGGCATGTTGTCTGGGCGATTTGATATTTAAAAAAGAAAAGATGAAAATTCAAGCTCACAGTTTGCGGCTCAAAATGCACAGCTATCTCTCCCCAAGGCCTCTGCAGGGAGTCTGGACCCAGCAGACTCAGGAGAAGTGAGCCCCTGGATCCAACCATTCCTGAAGTCACTATGCCATAGGACTCCCCAGCTGCAACTTAGGCATTAACGTGCATAGCTTCTGTGTGGCGATTATATGGCATGGATACATCCAAGGACAGTGACAGTGCTCACATTCCAGTGAAATCCAGATGATCTGAGGCCATGGGAACAAGGGCAGGCTCAGGATTGCCTGCCAGAGATGTAAGAGGTGTTTGTTACCCAGCAGGAGCTGATTATTACATGTACACAACCTAAGACTGCCTTTCCTAGCTTCTGAGATTAGTTGGATTACAAGGGGCTTCAGGACTGGATATGATCAACAGGAAATGACCTGTCACTCATGTGTCATAGTCCTGTAGTCAGATGCTGTGAGCTAGACCAAAGTTACATGGTCTAGCTCACAGCACCTGCCGATGTGGGTGAGAAGGGAACCTGTGCTCTAAGGCTTAGAAATATGGGCTGGATTGTTAAAGCAGCAAAACTAAGCTGGTACTAACTGGATGGGATCTTGCTCTGTAGCTCAAACTGGCTCAGAGTGAGTAATCCTCCTGCCTCAGTCTTCTGATGTCAGGATGACACACGGACACCAGCACAGCACGGCAGCCATGATGGTAAGTCTCTGAGTACCACACTCCTCACCACAATGACACTAGAACTAGCTACATTTTACAGAAGTCAAATTTGGGATTCCAAAGAAGACAGAGACTCCCCCAGAGTCACTCTTGATTCCCAGCTGGACCCCCTCTGTCCCACGGTCTGGAGCCAGCACCCGGCACCCTTGCCACCAGTCCAAACTCAGGCTACCCTAGAAGCCCATGGACTCCTAGATACCCTGGTCCCTGGCCCAGCTCCAGGAGAACCTGTTTGGTAAAAAGTCTTATCACGCGCCCTGCATCAACACCGGGATGACTGCTGAGCCCTTGACTCGGGTAATTAGGAGCGTTCTGGGACGCCCTGCTTGATTAAAAG